TGTAGAGCGTATTGCTGGGAGTTGTAGTGCTCTATAGTCATTACCATTCTACGTTTTTGTAGAGAGTATTGTGGGAAGTTGTAGTGCCCTATAGCCGTTACTATTCTGCATTTCTGTAGAGAGTATTGCTGGGAGTTATAGTGCTCTATAGCCATTACTATTCTGCATTTCTGTAGTGAGTATTGCTGGAAGTTGTTGTCGCCTATAGCCATTACCATTCTGCATTTCTGTAGAGAGTAATGCTGGGAGTTGTAGTCCTCCATAGCCATTACCACTCTGCGTTTCTGTAGAGGGTATTGCTGGAAGTTGTAGTCCCCTATAGCTGTTACCGAAATGCAAAATACAGAAATGCAAAATGGTAACGCTATAGGTGGGCAGGTATTGTAACAGCCGGGGGGGGGGGGGGTGGCAAAAAAATCTTGCACCAGGGCCCATTGTTCCATAGGTCCGCCACTGGCATTTCTACTCTTCAGATTGTTAAGCAGAACTCCAGGTAAAAATTTAATTAACCTTTCCCCCCGGAACTGCAAGGGTTAAGTGCTCATTTTTGCCTTGCAGTGGTATAAGGTCCTGTGAGTCATCACGTTCTATACAGTGTATAGGTCGTAAGGATGCTGAGGGACATACCATCGCTGGAGCAGAGGACAACAAGGGCTGGAGGGAATTCTGTCACAGCCGCCTTGCTCAGAGGTTCGGGTAGAGGTTTTGACCTAGGCAAAAATTAGTACTTAACCTTGCAGTGCAATGTAATGATGTATCCCCGATTACAGAGACACATTAATTTTTGTCTTTTATATCTGCCTTGAATTCAGCTTTAAATTTACCTCTGTTTCTATGTATTACCTACCTTTTATAAACCCATGCTAAATCCATATCTGTTTGTCTTTGAACAGAATACTTTCAAATAATCTACACACGGTAGAAGTCCAGCTCACTGGTGCATAGTTATCAGGCCTGGCCAGTCGAGTACGTGAGCTCTGCTGACAACCCGATCTTCAACTCCGGTCCGGTCCATCACCCATAAGGGTCAACAGGACAAATAAAGACACAAAGACAGCAAACATAACTGAACCAGAGTTCTAACCCGTACCTCCTCTATCCACAATTAAATAAAAAAAAAAGGTTTTGACTATAGATCAGGGGTAGGCAAACTCCGTCTCTACAGCTGTACTGAAACTATAAATCCCATCATTATTCAACCTCTGGGAGTCATGTCTGTGGCTGTCAGAGGCTTGTAATGCCTAATGGGATTTGTAGTTTCACAGCAGCTGGAGGGCCAAAGTTTGCCTACCCCTGATCTATATTTAAAACTATAGAAAATAACTTTGCTGCAGTCTGTGTTTTCCTGTCCCAGTGACTACTGCACCCCTCATTTCTAGCACGGGCATAACAAGAAGTGAGGAAGAATCTCCCCAACTGGTGAACAAAGAAAAGGAACCTGACAGAAATTCTATTCTATTCACCACTTTATTCAGAACTTAAAAAACAAAATTTTGGCTGCAGTTGTACTTTACCTAGCTAAACCTAGTGAACTCTAGAAATGTAGATGTAATCTGAAATATCAAGTCAATATAAGCCTATACTTACATTGCTTACATTAGCAGACATTTGTAGCTGGTTTATGTCAGACTTGGTGCCTGATGGCTTGTTCACACCATCTCCAGACCAGTGTTTGTATGTGTATCTATGTGGTTTTTATCCGCACCAAAAACACATACACAATAATTCCTTTGGTTTTCAATTAGGCTAATTCACACCATTGCATTTAGTTCCAGAGCTTGCATAAAAGTACAGCAACAACATGCTTTTTTCAGACTGGAATACATAGAATCACATGTAAACGCACCAGGACGAGCTTAAAATTCATGTAAAACCATTAAAACCCCACACTGGAACAGATCCAAAACGTGCATACATGTGTATGCAAAAACATATCCAGAACTGGTCCGGAGATGGTATGAACAAGCCCTAAAAGATTATATACCTTTGTGAAATAATGTCCAGAGATATATCTACCTATCCAAATTCTGGAAGTGTACCCCTTAACCTTTAGATATAGAAAGCATCTGTACAGCAGTTTTTCCAATTGGAAGGTCTTATCGCTCATGCTGTAGTAAGGATGTTAATGATAATGTCTGCTTTGGTCTATATTTTCTGAACCATGTTCTGGCTGCAGTTAAAAGGCTAAGTTCACCTTTTGCAAAAATTAAAGAAATGCATATTTAATAATATAACAAAAAATATGCTTTTCTTTAATTCCTTTCATTCAAGCCTGGAAAGCACTGCAACTGTGGTCACTCGATAATAACTGCAAAGCTCAGGCTTCTGCACATTCTCTCCAGGGCCGGATTAAGAACATCACAGGCCTGGTGCTGAGGATTTTGGTGAGCCTTTTTATGGAAATGGCGGCAGTCACCCTGACCCTTTTCCTCCTGTCCAGGCTGTGATTTGTAGTCTCTCTACAGCTTGGAGTCAGTGGTGGAGCGTCAGGGCCTGGTTGCAGCTGCGACCCTGGTAAATCTGCCACTTACTCCAAGCTGTAGAGAGACTAGAAATCTTAGCAATACATTATACAGCAATGCAGAATATCGCCAACGATAGAGGAATACAAATCCCAGAATACATTACACATGAATTCAGAATATCACCAGCTATAGAGGACTACAAATCCCAGCAATGATACAGCAATGCAGAATATTACCACTAACTATAGAGGACTACAAATCCATGTAAAGCATTACAGAGCAATACAGAATACCACCAGGTATAGAGGACTACAAATCCCAGCAATACGTTGTAAAGCCCTGCAGAATAATACCATCAGCTATAGAGGACTACAAATCCCAGAAGTACTTTATACAGCAATGCAGAATATTATGAAGCTACATACTCTGTGTTGCTTCGGGTTCGCGGCCTGATGTCTCCAGGGTCTCAGGAGAGCTGTGCAGGCTCTCAGGAGGCTGTTCAGGTTCTTAGGTGGCCAGTGCGGCTCTATGAGGGCCATTGCCGGCTCTCAGGTGGTCAGTGCGGGATTCAGGAGGTCAATGAGGGATTCAGGACCAGCAGCTCTGCTCCGCTCCCCCCAAAAACCTCTTCCTGCATGTACACAGCACAGGAAGGTACCAATTGTACAGGGGGGGTCGGGACCGTACCAAATTATGTACTGTACTCCATGGCCTCAGCGGACCAGGTAAGGGCCACTCACAGACACCGGTGTCAGTGTACAGACACCTTGCCGATTCCAGGTTGGAGGTGGTTTACAATCAGCATTCCATTTAATCAAAAAGGTAATCACCAATGATCAGGAAGCTGGGCAGCGAGTCATGAAGTGCCGTCCGGCTTCCCGATTGGTAAGGAAGCCAGGCTGCCTAGCAACAAGTGAAGCTGGCTTTCTAGCCAATCAGGAAGCCAGGCGGCATGTCACGACCCATCTCCCAGCTTCCCGATTGGCTAGGAAGCCGACATCACTTGTTGCACTGTTTGCTTAGGAAGCCAGGCTGCCTAGCAACAAGTTAAGACGGCTTCCTAGCCGGGAGGCAGCCAATCAGGAAGCCGAGAGACAGGTCATAACAGACCACCTGGCTTCCTGATTGGAAAGGAAGCCCGCTCCATGCTCCCTCGGCACTTGCAGTCAGTGGGAGATCTCCCTCTGACTGGAATTTCCGGTATCGGAGGTATGTATCGGAGCATTTGGGCAAGTACAAGTACTCGCCCAAATACTCTGTATCGGCACTGATACTAGTATCAATATTGGTGCATCCCTACTAGAGACAACTAAACTCTATAATTTGGTTTAGAATGGGATGTCCTTCAAGCTTATATTGGTGGGATGGTCAGGTATCCAAACTTTTTGTCATATAGTGTATCTATGAACACCTGTGTGTATTAAGTGTCATACAACTGTTCCCACCTTTAGCAAACAATATATGCTATTCATTTGACTCTAAGATTTCATGTAACCTTTTAGAAAGGAAATATAAAAAAACGACAAATAAAAGCAAATTTTTTATTTAAACTTACATAGTTTATAAATCCAAGTTTAGCAAAATGTACAGAAGCATAATGAAAACACATAAAAAAAGATCCGTCCCATAAATGGTGCCATCAAGCCAATTTCAAATCTTCCAGGTCATAAACAAAAAGATTCCCCACTTGAACTGTGAGAACCATCAAAGTTAAAAAGAACCTAAAACGTAAATTAAAACTGCTAAAAGTACTTTTTTACGGTAGTCATTTTTTGTCACCAATAGTTCAGGTGCAAACTTGCACTTACACAGATCATATATGCGAACTATAGAAAGGAAGCTAAAGTAAAAGGCTGAAAATGTGTCTTAATAAAATGTATAGTGCACTTAATATATAGGTATGTATTATTTATAATAACTCTGAGTAATAATTTAAATGTCACCGTAAACAATAACTTCTACAGATTCTTTCCTTAAACCAGTAACTTTCTTAAGAAGACCATAAAACAGCAAACCAGTTCCTGCTTTTCCTAAACTTAGCATTAATGGCAGGCTTTGGTTAAATAAATTGTCCTTTTTTAAAGGAAAGCTGCACATTTTATTTTTTTCACATGCAGTAGTCTCTGGTTAACAGGCATTAAATGCTTAGCTAGTTTGCTGTTTTGTTCTTCTTTAATACATATATACTTGAAAAAGGAAATATACAATAAAGTGAGAAACAGGTTTAAAGATATAAACAAATACACAAGGTGTCCCCCATCATTTCTGGACATGTTTATAGGAATCAGATATTTGCATTCTCTCAACATACAGTGTTGAGTCAAACTTACAAAAAAAAGGCTTTCACATCAGGTACCCTTAAAAGGCAATTGGAAATACAGCTCTCTATTATCATGTTACAGCCCAGCCTTTTAAACAAGAATACAGGAATGCCTTGAGGAGAACATTAGATTGAAATGGGGGGACAATTTCTGAATAAAGCTCCCGGTGAAACCTCAGGATTGTCGCATATTTTTAGTGAGGGCTGATGTGCTCCATTCTTCAAAATCAGCTTTTCACATTACAGTTTTCACATTCTTGTCTCTTCAGTATTGCTCCATGAAAATCTGGTTAACAAAGCAAAGTTTATTATTAGCATTCATTGTACTGCAATTGGCATTCAATCTTTCTCAGAAAACAAGCCACCATAAATAAAATAATTGTTTAAAAAATACATGCTGTGGAACAACTCCCCATGTGTACAACCTCTCACGCTTTTCACCGTTTCACTCTAAATCATAGAGGCCTCTACGATTAAGCCAGATTGGTGAAACGCGTGAGAGGGTTGTACACATTGGGAGTGCAAATGCGAGCCAGGTTTGCCTGCACCTGTAGAATGATGCACAGTTGGATGTCAGTCTAAGAATTGGAACGGTGGACTATCTGCACTACGTTGTATTTATCAATGTCATAACCAATGTTATTATAACCAATCAGAAGCTGAACAACTTGTAGAGTTTCAGGCTAATTACCCAAGCACTAAAATTGTGTTAAAAAAAGACTCGAAAATATTAATTTACTTTGTGTTATGTCTACTGAGGACTTTTTTATTTAAAGCTATTGCCGTAGTGGCTCTTCCCTTGAGCTGGATCTGTGTACAGTGTACCTACACCCATTTGAGAAGAGGAAGGATTTGTAGAACGGTAAGGTCTTTTTTATATAGTTGTTTTATCCACCACACACAACAGAGTATGTACCTTATACATACCTCCCAACTTTCCCAGAAGAGAAAGGACACCTTCTAGCACACTGGGCCCAATTTATCAAAACTGGAGCAGACAGAATTTGGAGCAGTTGCTCATTGAAACCAAACAGCTTCTCTATTCAGTTAAGCTTTAAAAATGATAGATAGAAGCTTTTGGTTGCCATGCACAGCTGCTCCAGATTTTGTCTGCTCCAGTTTTGATAAATTCCCCTCAATATGTTTAGGCAATGGACACACCACTGCCAAGGGCCCAGGTATGCAGACCATTAAGAATTTATATGCCAAAAATGATTGGTTAAACCCAGAACTGTTTTTTCACCATTACTTTTCCTTTCTACTGGCTTTTCAAAAATAGGAAACAAAAAATTAAGGTATAAAGAACAGTTTAAGTGCAGAATAACCCTTTTGGTAGTTAAATAGAACATTCACATCAGGCCAAAAAGAGGGACAACTGTGAAGGAAAGAGTGAAAGCGGGATTTGGTTCCATATGAGGGACAGTTCCTCCAAATGAGGGACAGCTGGGAGGTATGCTTGTATGTTGGGTAACATGCCTTACTTTTTATTACCACTTTCATCAGTGACAGTAATTTAAAAGGAGAACTATGAGGTGAGTGCTTTTCACTCACCTCATAGTTCTAGCCGACCTGTGACAATGAGACTGTCACAGGTCGGCTCAGTAGATCGGGAAGTGAGCGAACACATAACGGCGTTCGCTCACTTCTCGATCCAGTCACGGCTCTCTGTCGTGACAGGGGAGGGGCTGGATTTCCCCCTCCACGCTCCGATCCTCCAACGCCGACTGGCGGAATGGACGGGGAGGGGGCGGGTACAGCTGGCTCTGCCTCTCACACAGCTGGGCGGATCCAGACATAATTGTCAGGATCCGCTTCAGCTGCGGCGTCTCAGTATACCGCGAGCTGTAGCTCGCGGTATACTGAGCTTAGGGTGACGGGAGGACTCTAGTTTGTGTCCTCCCCTTACCCTATGTAGAACTATGGGGAAAAGCCCTAACCCCATAGTTCTCCTTTAAATTACAAATCTTCTGCCACCCATAAAATATTTGGGTGCGGGAAAAGCATTATTCTATATTTATAATTCTATAAATGACACAAATCTGGACTATGGTCACTGTTATAAACATCCAGGACAAAAAATTATAATCTAGAATTAAAATACATCTACAATTCTTCTTATGATCAGGGTCAGGACTATGGCGAATGACAAAAACATTACAAACAAAATAGGATAATATATCTCGGACTCTTCACAGTTCAAGAAGAACTGAATTTATTTTCTTAAAGTGGAACTAAACTTGTCGATTCAACGGTTTCCCACAAGTAAGCTTAACTTAGAAATATTCAGTAAATGTTATAAAATCCTTCATGGTAGGGATGCACCGATACCGATACCAGTATCGGTGCCGATACGGAGTATTTTGGCGAGTACTCGTACTCGACCAAATGCTCCGATGCCTAGCACGATACTTCCTGTATTAGGAAGCCGGGCAGCGCGTCATTACACACTGCCCGGTTTCCTGATTGGCCGGGAAGCGGCTCCATGCTCTCTCATCAGTTCTTTAAAAAAATCTGTTTTATTACCTTTTTTTATTTTCTTCTGAGTAATCACATGATTGCAAAGATCTGCTTCCTCTGTTACATGAGTGGCTGCTTCGGATGATGGGTAAGAACATTCCTCCCCACCAACAACGGCTACAGCAGTGAAGGCCGGCGGGTGACATCAAGGTTTCTGTAAATCATTCTACACAGAGGAGCCAGAGCTTTGCAGTCATGTGACCACTCTGAAGAGAAAAAGGGATTTACAGAGAGATTACTTAACAACTGTAGGCAATTTATGCAAGAACAGTGATTTCAAATGTGAATTATATTAGCCTTTCCTTCTACTAAGATTCTGCCAATTAGTGCATGCACAGTACATGTTGCACTCAAGGCACACCTCTGGTCAAAACTGTCACAGTTGCAACTGCAAAAGATCTAATGGAGGCTAAAGCTCACTACAAGCGTTAATGTCTGATTGTACAATCTCCTCTACATCTACCAACAACTATGTAGTGCTGCTTGATTGGATAGACATGAGAGAGATTAGGTAGGTCCTCAGATTACATAGTTTTGGTAGGCC